GTGTGTGCTGCTGGTGGAGTGTGAGGCTGAGTGGAGTGTGGAGTGAAGTGGCACAGGGCGTGAGTGGGGGGTGTGAGAGGCTGGTGAGGGAGTGAGGCTGAGTGAGGTGTGAGTGAGGTGTGGAGTGTGGTGTGAGGCTGAGCTGAGGTGGAGTTTGAGGCTGGTGAGGGAGTGGGAGTGTGTGAGGCTAGTGTGGTGTGAGGCTGAGTGTGGTGTGAGGCTGAGTTTGAGTTTAGAGGCTGAGTGGGGTGTGAGGCTGCTAGTGGGGGAGTGAGGCTGAGTGGGTGTGAGGCTAGTGGAGTGTGAGAGGCTGAGTGTGGAGTGGTGGTGTGAGAGCTGGTGGAGGGGTGGGGCTAGTGTGTGGTGTGAGGAGGCTGGTGGGGTGTGAGGCTAGTGGGGTGTGAGGCTGAGTGGGGTGTGAGGGCTGCTGTGGGGGAGAGTGAGGAGGGTGAGGCTGGTGGGGTGTGAGGCTAGTGGGTGTGAGTCTAAGTGAGTGTGAGACTGAGTGGGGAAAAGGAGGGCAGTGGAGTGTGAGGCTAGTGTGGTGTGAGGCTAAGGTGTGGTGTGAGGCTGAGTGGTGAGTGAGACTGATGTAGAGGAAAAGGAGGAGTGAAGGCTAGTGTGGTGTGAGGCTGAAGTATGGAGTGTGAGGCTGGTGGAGTGTGAGACTGAGTGGGAAAGGAGGTGAGTGAGGGTGTGAGACTGATGAGGGAAGTGAGGTGGTGAGGGTGAGGGCTGAGTAGTGGTGTGAGGCTAGGTGGAGTGTGAGGCTGGTGTGGTGTGAGGCTAGGGTGTGAGTGAGGTGTGAGTGTGAGACTAGTGCAACAGGGAGGAGGGGCTGGTGTGAATTGTGAGAGCTGAGGGAGTGAGGGCTGAGTGGAGTGAGACTAGTGGGAAAAAGGTGGTGGAGAGTGAGGCTATTGGGGGTGAGACTGAGTAGGGGTGTGAGACTGAGGTGGGGAAAGGAGGGTGAGTGGGGGTGAGAGGCTGAGTGTGGTGGTGTGTGCTGAGTGGGTGTGAGGGCTGGTGTGGAGTGAGGGCTGTGAGGTGTGGGTGTGGAGGCTAGGTGTAGTCATAGAGGCTGAGTGGGGTGTGAAGGCTGAGTGTGGTGTGAGGGGCTGTGTGAGGTGTGAGGAGGCTGAGGTGGTGGAGTGTGAGACTGAGTGGGAAGTTAGAGGGCTGAGTGTGGTGTGAGGCTGAGTGGTGGTGTGAGGCTGAGTGGGTGTGAGGCTGAGTGTGTGGTGGAGTTTGAGGGCTGAGTGGGAGTGAGCCTGCTGTGGTGTGAGACTGGTGGGGTGTGTGAGACTAGAGGGAAAGGAGGGAGTGAGTGGGGAGTGGGAGGCTGAGTGTGGTGTGAGGCTGAAGTGGGGTGTGAGGCTGAGTGTGGTGTGAGACTAAGAGTGGGAAGGAGGAGCTGAGTGGAGAGTGAGTGAGGCTGGTGGAGGAGTGAGGCTGAGTGGAGTGTGAGACTGAGTAAGAAGGAAAGGAGGAGTGAGCTGGAGAGTGAGGCTGTGCGGGTAGAGACTTAGTGGGGTGTGAGACTAGTGGGAAAAGGAGGAGTGTGGGAGTGAGGCTGAGTGTGGTGTGAGGCTGAGTGGTGGGTGTGAGGCTGAGGTGGGGAAGGAGGTTAAGTGGTGGAGTGAAAGGCTGAGGTGTGGTGTAGAGGCTGAGTGGAGGGTGGGACTAGGTGTGGTGTGTGAGACTGAGTGGGAAAGGAGAGGCTGTAGTGGGGTTTGAGGCTGAGTGGAGGAGTAGGGGCTGAGTGGGTGTGAGGCTTGTGTGGTGTGAGGCTGTTAAGGTGTGGGGTGTGAAGCTGAGTGGGGTGTGAAGCTAGTGTGGAGTTAAGGCTAGTGTGGTGTGAGGCTAGTGGAGTGTGAGGCTGAGGGAGTATTAAGGCAGGTGGAGGAGTGAGGCTAGGTGTGGTGTGAAGAGTGTGGTGTGTGAGGCTAGTGGGATGTGAGGCTAAGTGTGGGTGTGAGGCTGGAGTGGAGAGTGAGGCTACTGAGTGTGGTGTGAAAGGAGAGTGAGGTGTGAAACTAAGAGGTCTGAGGCTAGTGGGGAGTAACAGGCTGAGTGTGGTGTGAGGAGGAGCTGAGTGGGAGTAAGGGGATTGAGTGGAGTGAGACTAGTAGGGGTGAGAGTAGTGGGAGTGAGGATAGTGGGGAGTGAGGATAGTGTGGTGTGAGGCTAGTGTGGAGTGTGAGACTGAGTAGTGTGAAAGGAGGGTGAGTAGGATGAGAGAGCTGAGGTGGGAAGTGAGAGGCTGAGTGTGGTGTGAGGCTAGTGGAGTGTGAGGGTAGTGGGATGTGAAGTAGAGGACTGAGGCTGGTGGGGAGTGAGGGGCTAGGTGTGGTGCAGGAGGCTGAGTGGGGTGTGAGGGAGGTAGAGTGTGAGACTGAGAGTAGGGAAAAGTAGAGGGCAGTGGGGAGTGAGGATAGGTGGGAGTGAGGCTGAGGTGTGGTGTGAGGCTGTGGTGGGGTGTGAGACTGAGTGGGAGAAAGGAGGGTGAGGTGGGAGTGAGGGCTAGGTGTGATGTCAGGCTGAGAGGCTGTGGAGTGTGAGACAGGTGGTGAAGAAAGGAGGTAGTGGGGAGTGAGGCTGTTAGGGGAGTGAGACTGAGTGGGGAGGGTGTGAGACAGAGGGGAAAGGAGGGTGAGTGGGGAGTGAGGCTGAGGTGTGGTGTGAAGCTGAGTGGGGAGTGAGGCTGAGTGGAGTGTGTGAGACAGAGTGGGGAAAAAAGGAGGGTGAAGTGGGAGTAGAGGCTATTGAGGGAGTGAGACTGAGTGGGGTGTGGAGACTGGTGGGGAGAAAGGGAAAGGGTGAGTGGGGAGTGAGAGGCTGGTGGTAGTGTGTTGGTGTGGTGTGAGGCTGAGTGGGTGTGTGAGGCTGGTGTGGTGCTGAGGTGTGGTACAGGAGTGGGAAAGGAGTGAGAGTGGAGAGGGAGTGAGGCTGAGGTGGGGTGTGGGGCTGGTGTGGAGTGAGACAAGTGGGGAAAAAGGAGTGGAGAGTGGAGAGTGTGAGGGCTGATGGGGAGTGTAAGAGACTGAGTGGGGTGTGAGACTGGAGTGGGGAAAGGAGGGCTGAGTGGGGAGTGAGGCTAGTGAGGTGGGAGTGTGAGGGCTGGGTGTGGTCTGAGGCTGCAGTGGAGTGAGAGCTAGTGTGGTGTGAGGGTGGTGTGGTGTGGAGGCTGAGTGTGGAGTTTGAGGCTGAGTGGGGAGTGAGGGGCTGAGTGTGGGTGTGAGGCTGCTAGTGTGGTGTGGGGCTAGTGGGTGTGTGAGGCTAAGTGGGGCGTGAGGCATGTAGGTGTGAAGGCTGAAAGTGGGTGTGAGGTGGAGTGTGAGGCTACAAGTGGGAGTGAGGAGCTGAGAGTGGGGAGCTAGCTTGTGGAGTGAGGGTGTGAAGTGTGAGGCTAGTGGGGTGTTGAAGCTGAGTGGAGTGTGAGGCTAAGTAGGTGGGGAGCTAGTGGGGCTGGTGAGAGGAGTGAGTGGTGAGTGAGGAGTGGGGTGTGAAGCTAGGGAGGGTGTGAGGGCTGAGTGGGGTGTGGGAGGCTGAGGTGGTGGTGAGGAGGCTAAAGTGGGGGTGTGAGGGAGGTAGTGGAGTGAGACTGATTAGGTGGGGAAAAGGGAGGGCAGAGGGTGAGGATAGTGGGAGCAGTGATGCTAGTGTGGTGTGAGAGGCTGGTGGAGGTGAGAGACAGGTGGGGAAAGGAGGGTGGTGGGATGAGGCTGAAGGTGGAATGTGAGGCTGAGTGGGGAGTGAGGCTGAGGTGGAGTGTGAGGGTGAGTGGGATGTAAACTGAAGCTGAAGGGGGGTGAAGGCTGAGTGGGGAGTGAGGGGCTGGTGTGGTGGGAGGCTGAGTGGGGTGTGGGGCTGGAGTAGTGGGAGAGTGGTGGGGAAAGGAGGGGAAGAAGGAGTGAGGGATAGTGGGGAGTGAGGCTGAGGTGTGGGTGTGGGGCTGTGAGGAGTGTGGGGCTTAAGTGGGGAAAGGAGGAGTGTGAGTGGGGAGTGAGGCTGGGTGTGGTGTGAGGCTAGTGGAGTGGTGAGGCTAGTGGGTGTGAGGGTGAGTGTGAGGAGTGAGAGGCTATTGGGGGAGTGAGGACTGAGTGGGTGTGAGACTAGGGGAAAAGAGGAGGGTGAGTTAGGGGGGAGTGAGGCTGAGTGTGGTGGTGTGAGGGCTGAGGTGGGGTGTGAGGCTGAGTGGGGTGTGAGACTGAGTGGGGAAAGGAGGAGTGAGTGGGAGTGAGGCTGGAGTGGGGAGTGAGACTGAGTGGGGTGTGAGACTAGTGGGGAAAGGAGGGTGGTGGGGAGTGAGGCTAGTGTGGTGTGAGGCTAGTGGGGTGTGAGGCTGTGGTGGTTAGAGACTGAGTAGGGAAAGGGTCATGGTGGAGAAGTGGGGCTGAGTGGGGAGTGAGGGCTGAGTGGGGTGTGAGACAGGTGGAAAGGAGTGTGAAGTGGAGGAGTGAGTGAGGAGTGGGTGGAGCTAGTGGGGAGTGAGGCTAGTGGGGTGTGTGAGACTGGTGGGGAAAGGAGGGTGAGTGGGGAGTGAGGCTAGTGTGGAGTGTGGAGGCTGGTGTGTGGTCTAGAGGGCTAGTGGTGGGTCAAGGCTGGTGTGTGGTGAGAGGTGGTGTGGTGTGAGGCTGGGTGTAGGAGGTTTGAGGCTAAGTAGGGAGTGAGAGGCTAGTGTGGTGTGGGAAGCTGGTGTGGTGTGGAGCTGGTGGGTGTGAGGCTAGTGGGGCGTGAGAGGGCATGAAGGAGGTTTAGGAGGCTGAGTGGAGTGTAGAGGCTATTGGAGCGTGTGAGAAGGCTAATGGTGGGGTGTTGAAGCACAAGTGGAGAAAAGGCTGGTGTGGAGTGTAAGAGACTGTGGGGTGTGAGGGCTGGTGGGATGTTCGGCTGAAGTGGAGTGTGAGGCTGAGTAGGGGAGTGAGGGCTAAAGTGAGTGTGAGGAGTGAGTGGGGTGTGAAGCTAGAAGGAGTGTAGAGGCTGAGTGGGGAGTGGGGCTAGTGGGTGTGGTGGGAGGCTGAAAAGGTGGGGTGTGAGGGTGGTGGAGAGTGAGACTGAGTGGGAAAGGAGGGCAGAGGGAGTGGATGGTGGGCAGTGATGCTGGTGTGGTGTGGGGCTGTTGAAGTGTGAGAGGAGTAGGGAAGGAGGGGTGGTGGGGAGTGAGGGCTGAGGTGGTGGAGTGGGGCTGAGGAGTGGGGAAGGATGTGGGTGGGGGTGTGAGGCTGGAGTGGGAGTGGAGACTGAGTGGGAAAGAGGAGGGTGAGTGGGGAGTGAGGCTGGTGTGGTGTGTGGGGCTGAGTGGGGTGTGAGGGCTGAGTGGGGTGTGAGACTGAGTGGGAGGGAAAAGGAGGAGGGTGAGTGAGGGAGTGGGGCTGTGGGGGTGAGACTGGTGGGGTGTGAGACAGAGTGGAAAGGGGTGAGTGGGGAGTGAGGCTAGTGAGGTGTGGTGTGTGCTGGTGAGGTGTGGGGGCTAATGTGGAGTGTGTGAGACTTTTGGTCACGAAGGCTGAGTGGGAGTGAGGATGAAGTGGGGTAGAGGGCTGAGTGGGTGTGAGACTGAGTGGAAAAAGGAGGGTGAGTGGGGAGTGGGGCTGGGTGTGGTGTGAGGCTGAGTGGGGTGTGGGGCTGGTGTGGTGTGAGACTGGTGGGAAAAGGAGGGTGAAGTGGGGAGTGAGGGCTATTGGGGAGTGGGACAAGTGGGGTGTGAGAGACTGGTGGAAAAAAGGGGGTGTGAGTGGGTGAGGCTGGTGTGGGTGTGTGCTGGTGAAGTGGTGGGGGCTGGTGGAGTGTGGACTAGACATGAGGTCAAGAGAGCTGAGTGGAGTGGTGAGGGCTAGTGGGGAGTGAGGCTAGTGTGGTGGGAGGCTAGGTGGGGTGTGAGGGCTGAGTGGGGTGTGAGGCAAAGTGGAGTGAGACTAGAGTGGTAGAAAAGGAGGACAGAGGGAAGTGAGGATAGTAGGGGAGTGAAGGCTAGTGTGGTGTGAGAGCTGTGGGGTGTGAGGACTGGTGGGAAAAAGGAGGGTGAGTGGGGAGTGAGGCTAGTGGTGAGGTGTGACTGAAGTGGGGAGTGAAGGCTGAGTGGAATGTAAAGACTGAGTGGGGAAAAGAGGAGTGTGGGTAGTGAGGAGTGAGGTGAGGAGGCTAGAGCTAGTGAGGCTGAGTGGAGTGTGGGAGCTGGTGGGGATGTGGGGCTGAGGTGAGGGTGGTGTGAGGCTGAGTGGAAAAAGGAGGGTTAGTGGGGAAGTGAGAGGTCTGAGTGCGGTGTGAGGCGAGTGTGGTGTGAGGCTAGTGGGGTGGAGGCTGAGTGGGGAGTGAGGGCTGAGGTGGGGAGTGAGAGACTAGCTGCTGTGTGTGAGGGACTAGTGGGGAAAGGAGGGTGGTGGGGAGTGAGACTAGGTGTGGTGTGAAGGATGAGTGGGGTGTGAGGAGCTGGTGGGGTGTGAGACAGGTGGGGAAGGAGGGTGAGTGGAGAGTGAGGCTAGTGAGTGGTGAGGGCTAGTGGGTGTGGGAGACTGGTGGGGAAAAGGAGGGTAGAGTGGGGAGTGAGAGGCTAAGTGTGGTGTGAGGCTGAGGTGGGGTGTGAGGCTAGTGGTGGTGTGAGGCTAGTGTGGTGTGTGGGGCTAAAGTGAGGTTTGAGGGCTAGTGGGGAATGAAGGGCTGGTGTGGTGTGAGGCTGGTGTGGTGTAAGGCTGGTGGGTGAAAGGGAATTGTGGGGTGTAAAGGCTGAGTGGAGGATGAGGCTAGTGTGGCAGTTGAGACTAAGTGGAGTGTAAGGAGCTAAAGTGGGGTGTGAACTGCTGAGGTGAAGTGTAGAGAGCTAGTGGGGTAAAGGCTGAGTGGAGTGTAAAGTGGTGAGTAGGGTGTGAAGCTGAGGGTGTGAGGCTGAGTGGGGAGTGAGGGGCTGGAGGTGTGGTAGGAGGCTGGTGGGGTGTGAGGGCTGGTGGGCAGTGAGGGCTGAGTGTCTTGTGAGGCTGAAGTGGGAGAAAAGGAGGGCTGAGTGGGGAGTGAGGCTGAGTGGGGAGTGAGAGACAGCTGGGAGTGTGAGACAGAAGGGAAAAAGGAAAGGAGGGTGGTGGGGTGTGAGCACTGAGTGTGGTGTGAGGGAGGCTGAAGAGTGAGGGTGTGAGGAGCTGAGTGGGTTTTTGAGACTGAGTGGGAAAAGAGGAGTGAGTGGGGAGTAAAGGCTATTGAGGGGAGTGAGACTGATGTGGGGTGTGAGACTGAGTGGGAAAGGAGGGGTGAGTGGAGAGTGGGGCTGAGGTGGGGGAGTGAGGCTGAGTGGAATGAGAGACTGAGTGGAAAAGAAAGGAGTGAGTGTGGAGTGAGGCTGGTGTGGTGCAAGAGGCTGGTGGTGGTGTGAGGCTGAGTGGGGTGTGGAGACTGAGTGGGAGAAAAAGAAGGGTGAGTGGGGAGTGAGAGGCTGAGTGGGGAGTGGGGGCTGAGGTGGAGTGTTGGGCAAGTGGGAAAGGAGGCTGAAGTGTTGGGAGTGAGGAGTGAGTGGGGGTGGAGGCTGGCGTGGTGTGAGGCTGAGTGGGATGTGAGAGGCTAATGGGCATAAAGGCTGAGTGGAGAGAAAAGAGGAGGAGTAGTGTGAAGTGGAGTCTAGTGCGGTGTGAGGGCTGGTGTGGTGTGAGGCTGGTGGGAAAAGGTGGCTGGCAGGAGTGAGTCAGGTGGTGGTGGAGGCTGAAGTGAGGTGTGAGGCTGAGTGGGGTGTGAGGCTGGTGGAGTGTGAGGCTGGCTGAGTGTGAGGCTGGTGGGGAAAGGAGGCTGAGTGGGGAGTGAGGCTGGTGTGGTGTGAGGCTGAGTGGGGTGTGAGGGCTGGGGGGTGTGAGTCTGAGTGGAGATGTAAGGCTGGTGGGAAAAGGAGGGTGAGTGGGGAGTGAGGTCTGAAGTGTGGGCTGTGAGGCTGAGTACAGTGTGAAGCTGAGTGGGGTGTGGGCTGAAGTGGAGCATGTGGGGCTAATGGGGTGTGACGCTGAGTAGGGGTGTGAGGCTGGAGGAGTGTAAGGCTAGTGTTGAGTGAGGCTTGTGGGGTGTGAGGCTAGTGGGAAATGAGGCTAGTGGGGTGTGAGGCTTCTGTGGATTGAGGTAAGTTGGGAGTGAGGCTAGTGTGGAATGTGGCTAGTGGTGTGTGAGGGTTGAGGGGTGTGAGGATTGAAGTTTGTGAAGCTAGTGGGGACTGAGGCTAGTGGGGTGTTAGGCTAGTGGAGGATGAGGCTAGTGTGGTGTGAGACTAGTGGAGTGTGAGGCTAGTGGGGTGTGAGGGTAGTGGGGTGTGAAGCTAGAGGAGTGTGAGGCTGAGTGGGGAGTGAGGCTGTAGTGTGGTGGGAGGCTGAGTGGGGTGTGAGGCTGAGTGGGCGTGAGACTGAGTGGGAAAAAGGAGGGCAGAGGGAGTGAGGCTGAGTGGGGGAGTGAGGCTGAGTGTGGTGTGAGGCTGAGTGGAAAGGAGGCTGAGTGGGAGTGAGGCTGAGTGGGGAGTGAGACTAGCTGAGTGTGAGACTGAGTGAGGGGGAAAGGAGGAGTAGTGGGGTGTGACACTGAGGTGTGGTGTGAGGCTAGTGGGGTGTGTGAGGCTGAGTGGGGTGTGAGAGACTAGTGGGAAAAAAGAAGTGAGTGGGGGGAGTGAGGCTATTGGGGAGTGAGAGACTGAGTGGGGTGTGAGACTGAGTGGGAAAGGAGGGTAGTGGAGGAGTGAGGCTGAGTGGGGAGTGAGGCTAGTGGAGTGTGAGACTGAGTGGGGAAAGGAGGGTGGTGTGGAGTGAAGCTGAGTGTGGTGTGAGGCTGAGTGGGGTGTGAGGCTGAGTGGGGTGTGAGACTGAGTGGGAAGAGAGGGTGAGTGGGGGAGTGAGGCTGTTGGGGGAGTGAGACTGAGTGGAATGTGAGACTGAGTGGGAAGGAGGAGGCTAGTGTGGGGAGTGAGGAGTAGAGGGGGAGTGAGGCTAGCGTGGTGTGAGGGCTAAGTGGGATGTGAGGCTGGGAGCGTAAGGCTGAGTGGGAAAGGAGGGAGTAGTGGGAAGTGAGAGTCTAGTGCGGTGTGAGGCTAGAGTGGTGTGAGAGGCTGAGTGGAAAAAAAGGAGGCTGAGTGGGGAGTGAGTCTAGTGTGGTGTGTGAGGCTGAGTGAGGTGTGAGGCTAGTGGGGTGTGAGGCTGAGTGGGGTGTGAGGCTAGTGGGGTGTGAGACTGAGTAGGGGGAAAGAGGGTGAGTGGGGAGTGAGGCTATTGGGGAGTGAGACCAGTGGAATGTGAGGCTAGTGGGAAAGGAGGATAGTGGAGAGTGAGGCTAGTGGGGAGTGAGGCTAGTGGAGTGTGAGACTAGTGGAAAAAGAGGGTAGTGGGGAGTGAGGCTTTTGGGGAGTGAGACTAGTGGGGTGTGAGACTAGTGGGAAAGGAGGGTAGTGGGGAGTGAGGCTAGTGTGGTGTGTGCTAGTGTAGTGTGAGGCTAGTGCAGTTTGAGGCTAGTGTGGTGTGAGGCTAGTGTAGTGTGAGGCTAGTGTAGTGTGAGGCTAGTGGAGTTTGAGGCTAGTTTGGTGTGGGTCTAGTGGAGTGTGAGGCTAGTGGGGTGTTAGGCTAGTGGAGGATGAGGCTATTGTGGTGTGATACTAGTGGAGTGTGAGGCTAGTGGAGTGTGAGGCTAGTGGGGTGTGAGGCTAGTGGAGAGTGAGGCTAGTGGGGATTGAGGCTAGTGGAGTGTGAGGGTAGTTGGGTGTGAAGCTGGTGGAGCGTGAAGCTGAGTGGGGAGTGAGGCTGAGTGGGGTGTGAGAGGCTAGTGGGGTGTGAGGCTGAGTGGAGTCTGAGACTGAGTGGGAAAGGAGGGCAGTGGGAAGTGAGGCTGAGTGGGAAGTGAGGCTGAGTGTGGTGTGAGGGCTATTGGGGTGTGAGACTAGTGGAAAAAAGGAGGAGTAGTGGGGAGTGAGGCTGAGTGGGGAGTAGAGGCTGAGTGGAGTGTGAGACTAGTTGTGAAAGAGGCTAGTGAGTGAGGCTAGTGGGGAGTGAGGCTTTTGGGAGTGAGACTAGTGGGGTGTGAGGCTAGTGTGGTGTGTGCTAGTGTGAGTGTGAGGCTAGTGCAGTTTGAGGCTAGTGTGGTGTGAGGCTGAGTGTAGTGTGAGTGAGGCTAGTGGTGTGAGTGTGAGGCTAGTGGAGTTTGAGGGCTAGTTTGGTGGGCTGAGGTCTAGTGGAGTGTGTGAGGCTGAGTAGGGGGTGTTAGGCTAGTGTGGAGTGGGAGGGGGGATGAGGCTAGTGTGGTGTGAGACTGAGTGGAGTGTGAGGCTGAAGCTAGTGGAGTGTGAGGCTGAGTGGGTGTGTGAGGCTAGTGGAGAGTGAGAGGCTGAGTGGGGAGTGAGGCTAGTGGGTGTGGGGAGTAGTTGGATGTGAAGCTGGTGGAGCGTGAGGCTAGTGGGGAGTGAGGCTAGTGTGGTGTGTGAGGCTGAGTGGGGTGTGAGGCTGAGTGGGGAAGTGAGGCTAGTGTGGTGTGAGGCTATTGGGGTGTGAGACTGGTGGGAAAGGAGGGTAGTGGGGAGTGAGGCTAGTGGGGAGTGAGGCTAGTGGGGAGTGAGGCTAGTGGAGTATGAGACTAGTGGGAAAGGAGGCTAGTGTGGGGAGTGAGGTAGAAGTGGGGGGTGTAGAGGGCTGGCGTGGTGTGAGGCTAGTGGGATGTAAGAGGCTAATGGGAGCGTAAGGCTGGCGGGAAAGGAGGGTAGTGGGAAGTGAGTCTAGTGTGGTGTTAGGCTAGTGAGGTGTGAGGCTAGTGGGGTGTGAGGCTAGTGGAGTGTGATGCTAGTGGAGTGTGAGGCTAGTAGGAAAGG